ATATAATCACCTGGTCTGGTCTCATGTCTCCTCAACATGATGAATTGAATGATGTTGATGATGACAGAAGCCACTAACAGGATGGCTAAGACAGCAATACCTGCAGAGGCTCCAGGACTCAGACCAGTTGGCACACATGTACATGGTGTGCGATCTGGATGGTGAGCAATGTTTAATACAAGATCTAAAGACACAAGCTTCTAGATGAAATCATCAAACCTATGATTAGTTTTCTACAAATACTCAGTAGTTGTATCACACATGCTAACGGGTCGATTGCTCCAGATCCATTGCATACACTAGCCGAATTATTTGCTCCAACGCTGGACCCTGTATAAATGATCCTAATCCTTACCCTAAACCTTACCTAAAATCCGATCGTAATCCTAGTCCTTACCCTTACTCTTAACCTTACTTAAACCCCAATTGCAACCCTTACCCTATAATTTTGACGAAAACAATAACAATGTCGCCGGAACAAATGTAAGATCACCATACCATTTATATAACATACAGGTATCTATAGATATATAATAATTTCAAGAACCAAATTTATTCCCAATAACTGTAAAAACAACATACAATGATAACCGCGTTTAAAGGTACTATGCCCCATTTGCAGGCTAACAAAATGAAAAGGTTATATTCCAACGGCATTTGAAAGTAAATACTAATTTAGAACTTCCCTAAAAAAAAAGGGGGGGGGGGGGCTTGAAAATGTCTTTAAGAGGAAAAATAACGACTATAATAGTTGTCAAATCGACTTAAGAGCTGTAGAGCCAGTAAGTTATAGTCTGATTTTCAGATCATTGTACCGAATGGTTGTACGTTTTATGCTGCGCAAAGGTTCAATCAGTTTAATTTTGGCCATTACAAGAAGTGGATTATTGACAAATGCTCATGTACCCTTAACAGCTCTTTTTTATGTTTGTTATTACCAAGAAAGACAAAAAGTCAGTCAGTCACTCGATAGTGTCTCACAGTGAAGTCTAGCAAGTAAACGGGTTTCCTTGCATAATTTGAATATTAGGACACTGCTAACGTTTACATTTCACAGAGAGGACATACATGACATATACTCTTAACTCCTGCAAGTTCTACAGAAGTTGATGTTGGCTGCAAAAGGGACATACTATAGTATCTTTAAGCCATACAAAATAAAACTACTAAAATAAAAACATTCTCACATTCTCATGGACAGCAACCCTGAATCTTTCTATAGTACTATATCTTTCAGATACTGAATAGAATAAATCATCGGGGGAATTCCCGATTTAATTCATTGCGATCAAAACAGAAACCTCTTGACGAAATTGAAAAACAAGTTTGTATGCGTATTCACCTATGCTATGAAGCCTCGCTTCAACCATTGCATTAACAGGACTTTGGACTCTGGTCCGTGTTCACAAATACATGGTAGATTAATATTTGCTGAAGTAACTAGGGAATAATATACATTGCTTGGATGAATACACATCCTTTGATATTGATTTTTCTGATATTTGTATATCACATATAATAATTTATAATGGCATAGTTTATTACAATGGCTCATTCATCAGGAGCTTAAAGCGATGAAATGCCTGTATTGTTAAGATTGTACAAAAAAGTTTATTAGAAATATTGTGACCGATACCTCCCTCTCTCTTTCTGAGGAGCTCATCTAGCAACGTACTGTAGTCTTTTATATTCAGATTCGGAAGAGACTTGTATTACTGTAAACGCTGTTATTTTCAGCATCAAATTTACTTCTTTATGTACACTGTTGGTCATAATGGTGGATTAATTATTTTCACCCCAGTTAAGGGAAGGATTTTAAAAAATTATTTATTTCTAATAGATCTAGATAATGGCATATAAAAATTCTCAGATTTTATTGAATATTAATTTGCGAGTGTTTGTTTCGCGTGACTGGTTAATCATATGTGTGCTACTATGCTAATAAGCTAGGGAACCTACGTCCTTAAATCATAATTGACAGTAATGAGAATTAATGCCTCACAAAAGGGCACTAATATAGCTGATCGACACGATTTTTATGCTGGGGCCTCACAGTAACGAGGCCATTGCTTAGCCCCTGAATCATGACTGTACGCAGTGTTTGCTAGGGTACGCGGCCGCCCCCACAAATCCCCCAAAACGAAGAAAATGCAATAAATTGTGAAAAAATTCATTGCATTTCCCCCGGCCCCCAACAGGAAAACTTCCTCTGTAGGGCCATGCATTATAGTTCAAGGCATCAACTACATGTGTGTTACTGCATGACGTTCATGTACACCTCACAACCATGCCTGCGTATGCACGCCATTGCCTACTCTTACAAGCACACCCGACTTTGGACTGACAAAGGGAAAACTGGAGAGAAAAAAATCCTCAAATCATACGATTCATCAGCTACATGTATACAAATCTGTATTGTATTTGACGCTTAACCCTAATAAGGCCGGGGGGGGGGCATTATGGCCCCCCCCCCCCCTCCACGATTTTTCTGATTGCTCGGGAACGGATATGGATGGCGCCCCGCCGCTCGCTGACTTTTTTCTTTCGAGTCTTGCGCAACTTTTACAATTTTTTTTTTGAAAATCGGACCTACGGTTACAGGGTCACGTGACCTTTTGTCTTTGCATGTCAGCCCGAAAATCGCTCATTTTCGTGATTTGTGTACAAAACATATGGAAAAGTCATTTTTCCTAAAAACAGATCAAACATAAGTTATTGGGTCTTGTTTACAGTTTAGGTGGTTGTTTTGGGAGTCATAATAGTTGAATTGTAGTAAGAAATGACATAAAACAACAAAAACAATGAAATACATAAGTTAAAAAAACATTAAAATACATAAGAAATTATCAAAACAGGGGATAACATAAGGAATAAGCTGGCTCTTTCAAATTTTCTTGTTGTATTATTATTCAGAATGGTCTAATGAATATATGTTGTGAAAAAGAATGCTTAAAGGTAAAGACCAGTAATGGTCATGCGATTGCATTGTGAAAGAAACGTTGTGGAATCGATCAGAAAAGGTTGATCATCTAGCATCTAGCATCTGCAAGGTTCTGGAGTCATCAAAATGATAAGAAATTTGGCCCATTCTTCGTAAATTTACAAGCACTATACACAGAAAGATGTATATGGGACTACCCTATCTCTCTCACCAGACCATGAGAGAAATAAATTTACCAAATATATGAATTAGTAGGCGGTTTCCCGGCAAATTTTTTATCATCATGTATTAGTCAAAACATATTCTTTCACATGATTGGTAATGAGAGCTTCCATTTCATTTTTTGAAATTGGGGCGTTGCCAATACTGGTCTTTACCTTTAAATATGAATAATATATGATTTATGGGTAAAAATGTGACTTTTATGACTTTATATGCATAAATTACCATAAATATGCAAATGAGTGAATTTTTCACAAAATTGAAATTATCACATTATTCTATACACTTCCCTTGATATGCGTGCAAATTTTCGCGGCCGAGATCTTAGGGGGGGGGGCCATAATGACCCACCCCCGGCCATAATAAGACCTCAAATACCCCGGCCTTTTTAGGGTTAAGGCTTACCAAACACGACAAGTTTAAATTGGTAATCTCTATAACATGAAACCCTATACCATTCGCTTTAATATGTAGTTCCATGGATGCACGTGCATGTATTTTTTGAGTTGGGATATGATACTATAAAGCAAAATACTTTTATTGTAAGTGCATCATGGTTCTAAATCTATATTCAAAAGTACAATGTAGGCAAGTCTGACAAACATGCTAATTCATTTCAAGAATAAACGTGCATGTATAGACAGTAATTTAAGTAAAATTGGAAAAGTTTTTTTCAAAATTACGTTGAACTGGGTCTGTATATAGCCCTAAACAGAGCATTTAAAAAAAAAGGAAATGTAGATAATTTGTCATTAGGTCACCATACGAATTTCTCTTTATCAATTTACATCAAGAAAAAAACCCTTGCTTAAACTCAAGAATATTCATGTATTTGGAGGTAAATTTTCAAATCGGAAATTGATTGAATGACAATTCCATAATTCATTAAATCGTATTTGGTATGTAAACATATACTACTTCCTTGGAAAATACTTTTCTAGTAATGGCCTCTACGTTATTACTATTAAAAATGCATATTGTGAGAATGTAACTGTAAGCATTCCTTACATTTAACTCATAGCCTGCCATAAGGCTGCATGCACGCTATTGTTAAGGTGCCATGTACACGCTAGCAAGCTATTGCTCCTCTGCTTCTTGCATGATTGCACGCATATGTAATAGCAGTTATTGTTCATGCCCATTGGACTGTGCCTAGTGTTTTGCACGCGCTATTGATAGTACCATCGCGTTAATCCGATTATCTCGTTATAAACTTGGCAATGGGGGATTTGGAGCTTGGCACTGCAGGGATTAACCCGGTGGCAGGATAAGAGTTAAGGATCAAAATCGAATGTAACAGAACGGTACTGTTGAGGAGCCAAAACACATTAAAAACTTGTAAAAGTGCAGAGGGAATCTGTTGAGATGTGGTTTGCTAAATAATTTTGAAATTGAAAGAGATAGGTAAAGTCATAATTAGTCTCAAACTACAGAATTGATTTGATCCTACTAAAACACATCCTAACATTCCGCAGTATGATATATCACTCTTCGATTTGAACCAAGTGTTTAGGATTAAAAAAAATCATACCAAACAGCTTCCTCACCAACTACCTCAACCTCTACTCCCCCCCCCCAAAAAAAAAAAAAAATACAAATACAAATCTCCCACAACATCTCTGTTCAATCTAAGGGCTACGCAGGAGTCACATTTTGATTCTTTGCAAACAATGGCTTCTAGTATTTGTAACATTTCTAATGGCTTTATCTAAAAATGAATCCCCTTCACCAAACTTATCCATCTTAAGAGCAAAATGTTGTTTTCCTCAGAACATTTCCCAAAGTTATTTATATCCCATTGAAAAAATTAAAATGGTTAATTTGGGTCTCATAAACACTATTCAATGGTCAGACCGTCTGTTTGGAGCCAGAAGGGTATTAATTCATACACAATCAATACAGTGTTAATGCCCTTCTGGCTCTGAACAGACGATGTGACCATTAAGATATATTTTCATATTTGGATTGAAATAAATGGAGAGAAGACAATCAAGTGTATGTTGTACGAATTACATTGCACGAAGATGATCTTGATATTTGTTTGCATATAAAGTTATATACGATGATTGTACATGTTATACACCCATGCATATGATTGGTGTTGTAAAATTACAAATGTATTCTTCTATTTGATTTATGCAAACATTGTGATCTATGCATATGTACGGATTACATGTATGCACATGTGGATCCTCTTTAAGATACGGTGATTACCTTTCCCCAAGAAACAATGATAGAAATAAAAGACGATAAATACACAGAAGCATAATAACACAAACAAACAAAAACAAACTCTCATTTCACTAATGATATAAGAGCATAATGACTTACTGGTTGGGTCATATCTAGCCGGATCACTTGTTGTGTTTCCAAGATAATTCCCTGCTACGCAAGTGAACTCCGTATAGAGGTCGAATTCTGAATCTGGAACCTCCACATCGTTGTCTCCCGTTGAAGATTGATGTATCAGAGTACCATCGGAGTATATGTAGTATTTCCTTATGCTTGGAATAGGTTGGGTTGGATCAGCAATGTCACATGACACTGTGAGGCTTGGTTCAAGGAACTGGAATCCCACCCTTATATCAGTAGTAGGTGACCCTGAATTAAAGTAAACATGAACAATTAAAATATGCACTGATAGGACAACTGATTTTTATTTTTTAATTTTTTTCTGAGGGGTTGATTTTTTAGAGCAACTGAGAAAAAGAAATGCAAGTATAAATTTACCATATACAAGGATCAATCTTCTTTACATTAATACAAGGGTAAAAAGCTTCCAGATGACATTACTTTGCTTAATGTTGGAGGGCATGATGTTGCGCTTAGTGAAAATGTTCAGTTCTTAGGGTTAATCATGGATGAGCATTTATCTTGGAGAAATCATTTAGATGCTGTATGCACAAAGTTGTCCCGTAGTGTAGGTGTCATTTTTAGATTAAAATTTATTTTACCTGAAAGAGTGCTGATAACATTATATAATAGTATTATTCTTCCTTATTTGACATATTGTAATGTTGCTTGGGGAAACACTTTTAAGTCATATCTTGATAAGTTGAGAGTATGGCAGAAGAAGGCAATACGGCTTATTACTAATTCTTATTATAGACATCCAAGTTCTCCATTGTTCCTTCGACTAAGAATGTTACCACTAAGTGGACTTGTGTCGTTCAATTGCATATTGTTTACGTTTAATCTTAAGTCTATGCCTCATAAAAGTACGTTAAAAGATTTATTCCGTCAGAACTCGCAAATTCATGATTATAATACACGTCAAAGGTGTCTTATTCGTCAGCCTTTTGCAAGAACAATTGTCACTCTGACCTCTTTCCATATCTCTTGCATTAAAGAATGGAACAGTCTGCCTGATGATATAAAAAATAGTACAACTCTTTCTAGGTTTAGAAGGTTATCTAAAATGTACCTACTTGAAAGACTGACATAGTTTTTATTTGCATCTTAGTAATTTCTTATTCTGAAATGCTTTTTGACCACTAAGGACCTATTCATCAGTGTGACTGCTGTGTGTGTGTGTGTGTGAGTGTGCGTGTGTGTGTGTGTGTGTGTTGAGAGAGTATTTGTATGTTCTATATTATGTAGCTTAGTATTTTCATCCATTGTATAATCATACGTAACATTCTTTTTACTGTAAATGTATGTATTTTGTTGACTATAGGGCCCCGCTGACAAGCTTAGCTTCTAAAGGGGTCCTAAAACCATTCAGTTTATGATGTAATCAAGTTGGAATATGTTGATTGATGTTCTATTACCAGTCTCTTTTTTATGTAACAGATTATATCATGCTTTGTGTGGTTTTGAATAAAATGAACTGAACTGAAACTGAAACATGTAAGATGGAAACAAAATCAACAATCAATTTAAGAATGACACTGAGAGATGCATATGCATACTTGAGCCAACAATGTATCTTCAGCTTGCAGCTTTTTAGGATGGGGTGAAGGGGATTGCAGACTGAAAGAAATACCTCAAACTTGTACCCTCGTGTATTCAAGTTGAAATGACAACTAAAATATTCAAGGTACACAATCTTTTGCACGCCAATTGGCTATTACATATATGTATACGTACATGTACATGTGTATCAGGAGAAAAATAAAGTTTCCTAAATTGATGAATACTTCTAAGTTATCCTAAGAAGAGTTATCATCATTGTCTGTGTGGAGCCAGAAAGGCCTTAACTCATATCATTTTACATCAAATGAACAGCCTTCTGACTGCAAACAGACAATACTGGTATGTAAAAGTAGTCGTTTCTATGAATTAATACAAACAATTTTGATATAGTTGATCTCTTTCTTTTTATGGGGAAAATTATTCTGTTCAGTACAAATGTTCAAATATGCAAAGGGGTAACTAAACTTACTTGGAATATTAAGAGTAGTTGTTTCTTCTCCGTTGAGATCAGATACTTGGTGACCGCTGATGACACATTTCAATGTTTGACCAATGTTCTCATTGTCAGCTTGAAATGTGCAGACACTCCTCGTACTAGACAGATCTTCTCCAGCTGCAGGGTACGTTACATTTGTATCATCACAAGGTGAAGGCCCATCATCTAACATCCATGTGATTGTTTCATCTGGTCTACCTCCTAAAGCTTCACATATTGCTTCGAACACGTCAATGTTGCTCTCTGTTATAGTTTTTACCGATAGGTTCCGTATCGATTTGACTGCAAATCAAAATAATTGTTGTTGTTGGGGCAGGCTTACTTTGTAAAAGGTGATAGTACAAAATTACTGTCAGAAATACCATTACTTTAATTATTTCGTCTAATACTTTGTAATCGTCGCAATATGAATAAAGATTGTTATTATTATTATTATTATTATCATTATTATTATTATAACTATTTTTTATCAATTTTCCACAACATAATGTACAGTTAGATAAAAGAGGAACCGGACTTCATCGAGAAATCTGGGGTCATCTGTTTGTGTAATGATTTCATCAATTATTAATATCATTATCATTATTATCATTCTAGATACATTAATAGGTCTAAAAACGCAATTTAAAGTAAATCCCTTCTTGACATCTACTGTCCATGGATCCTCTTTTTAGGTACTGGTAAACAATACTAACTTTAATGAAAAGCTACAAAGGCAGGAACTACATTAACATTCAGTAAAATAGACTGTTCAAACTTTCTATGACCCACCTTCTACTGTTAGTTCTGCACCTTCAATGTTTCCTGTTCCTACAGGAAGTTCAACACATCTATAATGCCCTTCATCTTCTACCAGAGTATTAGTGATTGTCATAGTGGATGTACCCTCATTTTCTGATACACTAAAGTTGACATATTTTGGATGAGTAGAGGGATTGGTAACCGCTTTTCCATTAATGAAGATATTAACAATTGGAATCACTGAAAGATCTTCCCATATAAAGGTATATGGCGCTGCTCCTCCAGTACAGGTGTAAACTGTGTCAGTACCTTGCTGTATTAAGGAAGGACCTGTCAGAGTCACAGATTGGCCGTTTGAGAATTTCGTGAACTGAAGAAATAAAGATAGGTAGTTGAATCAATCGTTACAAAAAAAGCGATCTAAAGCAGCAAACCAATTTCAAATGCTGGTTTAGAAAAGCAAAGAAGATTTCAAATGACTTTTGCTCCGTCTGAATTCTCGATTTTGAATTAATACCAGAATAGTCTCTGATTTATTTTTTTATTTGCGAAAATGGAACTTAGTAGCTACTTACTCGTGCATGGATAATGTGAGCTGATATTACTATTTTCACTTATATAACGCTTCTTCTTGTTTTTGCTAACGTCATTACAACTTTGTTTCCAAAGAACCAATCTATGAATATGTTAATTTAATATAGAAGACGTTGTCTTTAAAAAATCCATTCATTTACAAAGAGTCCATTAAATTCTGTTTCTACCCTTCTTAAAACCTATACCGAGAGACCTTCGAACAGAAAAATAACAGATATCTGGCAGTAGTGTATTCTTCATCTATGTTCTATCCAATGGGAATGATGCCTCCTGCATGAATGTTCCAATTTGAGCTAAAGAATAATAATAATAAAACCTACTTTATTATGAACTGTATAATTTTTCCTAATCAAATTACACTAGATAAGATATTACCATTTCATTAATTTAGTGTGAACATCCCTGCCCGCCTAAGGACATTCGGGCGTCTTGTTGCCCGAATGTGAGTTGCCAGTTATATTACCCGCATATTGGTATTTTACAAACTAATATCCTCAGAACTGCCAGCACCCCTCCCCCATCAATGTTATTATAGGTAATACCAACTTTTGGTATGAGGACATGACTTTGGTTCAAATGAACATATTGGAAGCATATGCGATCCTACAATATTCAGTGATCGTTGTCGCGGTTGAAATCGTGTCTAAAGATGAAATTGTTAATCATAAAATCTTTACGTTGTATAGCTCCCTCTCAAGATCAAGATATTAATGTAGCTTTAAACAATGTTTCTTGACTAAAAATCGACCGTTTTGCTATATCCCCGTTTGGAAATTATATATTACAACTCCACATTCTGAGATTTTCATGCTCGCAGATACATTGGATGGCCGTATAGGCACTCTTTTATATTGATCACAATTTACCGGTAGCACCGATATTTTTTTTTATATTCAATTGTTCTCGAGAGCAGAAGTGTTTTAGGGGCTAAATTTTCTAGTGCGTATTATACATCCTCGTGGGCATCCAAATATATCAACATTCTAAAGAATCGCTATCCGCATATTTTTCTAAATTTAAAAAAACTTTGTATTACCTTTAACTAACTCTATTTATCTATATTATGATTTTAAGACACTGGAAGACTTTAGGAGAAAAACAAAACACCCATTTAATGACAAGTGTTTTCTCCTAAGTACTGTTTTCTTCTGTTTTATTATAAGCATTTTAAGAGTATTTTTGCCCTTGCATGTAATGTGTTTACTGTAACCGCTTTCAGCACCATCTGGGTGTATAATGTTAGACTCAAATCCTCAATTTCTAAAATGATAATTCCACTTACTTATGTCCCAAGCGGAGATTTATTATCTACATTAATATTCCCATGTTTGTATGCACAATACGTTACGAAAATGTAGAAGTGTTGTTGTCTTGTGAAAAAGTCTCCTGACTGTGAACCGCAGGGTACAGGGCTCCGAGTCCCCGCCGAAGTACTTATGTTCTTTGGCAAGACATTTATCTATATTTTTCGCATTTCCCCCCAGGTGAAGCAAATTGTTACCTAGCAGAAATTAAAACATTTAAATGATTGAGCGCTGTAATGGCAGCCGTGTTTAAGCCGGTGTAATAACAATGCTGCGCCGTGATATTGCATTGTGCCAGACAAGAGCGCTATGTACCCCACGTACTATATATGCATGTGCAATAGTTTGTATTGTTTTGCAATAACGAAGACAACTTACCAGCATTAACAATCCGATGAAGTGCAAAATGGCTCTCATATGTTGGATATCCATTTTAGAACTGGACAGTCGACTTCTGTATTAATAATCAATTTCACGATATGTTTGTTAGCTGGTTTAAGAAGATCTATGTAAACCCAGTGCTCATGCATTCCTTAGCCTATAACGCTAAAGGGGGAAGTCCAATACAATCAACAACAACAACCTACGTAATATGATTGCACGCGAGATATACAGAGTGAGTCAGAAAAAATGTTCCACTTTTTAAAAGTTGAATTGTTTGAAGTATGAATATTTATATTTATATTTTTCATGATATGTCTTGATAGAGTTACCCTCCCAGTACATTTAGGTACCATTTTCGTTTGAATCTCTGCATGCATGACTGAACATCAGACAATCTTTACAAGACTGCCAGATCTCACTTGCGCCAAGTTGCTGGGTGAGGAATAAAATAGTGCTTTGAACAAAGACAGCCAGACAGATAAAAACAAACACACACCCACAGGCACACACACACGCACATACACACAATGGGGGTAAAAACTATTATTCCACCTTAAAGGGATCCGGTCACTTTGTCTCAGATTCTGAAACAAAATCCTGGATTTAGCTCATGCTTCAATGATAATTATAAACCTTTAGGTCAGTCAGGAACCCCGTGACTTTTACAAGCCGATCGCCTGTCTTATTTTGAAGATATTAATGATTGGAATTACAAATTTTGAAAACCGTTCGCCGGACGGTTTTCATAACACTACAGTTTATTGGGGAAAACGAGTATGGTAAAACCGGTCACTCAAAGATTTTTACTTTTTTGAGGCACTTCTTGATCATTTTGAAGCGCGATATTTTTTAGGGCTTCAATATTACACCATATCACAGACACTGGTATCATGTAGGACCGTGTATCTGAGATTTAATATTGTTAAACGATCCCTTTAATGACCAACAGAGAACAAAACTGTAGATTAGTGCATTAAAGTTGTAGTATTTACAAGAATACCAGTCATGTTTATTTCTTCCACATCTAGGTGAAATTTTCTTTGATCAACATTTCTGTTTCTGTTTACAAATAATCTCGCCCTTTTTGTATTTTGGTTTTGAAATCAGCAATTGAATTTTGAATGCAGGGGCGGTGATCCCGGGGGGGACGGGGGGGGGGGGGGACACGTCCCCCCTCAACTTTTGAAAAGTTCACACAAAATTGTATAGCTCTGGAGGGCCCAAGAGTGCAGCGTTTAGACAAATAAAAATGCAAAAATCTTCTCACTCGGTAGCTACGCCCCCTTGCATAATATTCTTCAAAATGTACAAGTAAATACCGAGAAAATCGAAGTGTGAAAAAAGTATCTGCTTTTTTTCATACTATAGTTTTGCTAAGGAATGTAATTTTGTAATACAACAACACTTCAAAAACCTGTGAGGGGGTAGTCACTTCCGTCACCTTCACACCTCTTATTCACTATACTCCCTCGCACCTGCGTAATGATGGGGGGGGGGGGCTTAGGGGGCAGTTCTCCCTAAATCAAATTCAAGCGGGGTTCATTTCTAATTCGATACCAGTGATTTACAAATGTTGTTGAAATGGCATGATTTTCCCCTGAGCTTCCGAGGGCTCTGCCCCCTGGCTGCTCATGTGACCCTAATTAAATGTCTAAAACCCCTGGGCTTCTGAGGGCTCCGCCCCTGGACCCCATTCCAATAAGTGACCTGCATGCGAGTGTCACAAATAAAGTATCAAAATATGCTCATCTGACCGTAATTAAGTGCCTAAAACCCATGAGCTTCATGGGGCTCTGCCCCTTGACACCCGCCGGGGCTTTGCCCCTGGACCCCACGCCAATTTACGCTCCACTTTGCTTTGCTTTGCTCTACCTGATCGTAAAAACTGTAACCCCCCCCCCCCCCACACACACTTTGAAAAACGTTCCAAGGGCCTGCGTAACATGTAAGAGTGGTGGTGATGCGGATTTTTTTCTCCCCCCCCCCCCAAAAAAAAAAAAAAAAAAAAAAAACGTTTTTGCTCATTACGCCACTGCTCCCTCGTCCCTCACATTTCGTCCTCCCCCCCCCCCGGTCATGAAAAGAAATCGCCGCGCCTGCTTGAATGTTTAACTCTGAAAAATTCGAATGAAGTGTAGAAGGCATGATAGTATTTTTTTGTATAAACCTGGATATTTTTGTTTACATGTCAACGTTCTCACTTTTATTCTTTTCGTGAAGAAATCTTGAATCTTGAAGCTTTATTTTGTATTAGTGCTTGAAATTTTGTTTGCACTATTACATGGTATTTCAGACTAACATTTTTTGTTATGTTATGGTTTATTCAATTTGTGATTATGACATCTCAGCTACTCTGTTGAAATAAAAAAAAACGAGCGTCTATTGCATTTGTACACGGCGCATTTGCATAAAGTAAGCAACCGTACGCAACTGTAAGCAACCATACGCCTGGCCTACGCAAGCGTACGCAACCATACGCCTGTCAAACGCAAGCGTGCACGTATGTACGCCAATTGCATACGTCGTAGGTACGCGTTGCCTACGCACAGGGTAAGTAACCATACGCCATCGTACGCCAGCCTATGCATACCCTACGCAGGGATTACGCCGAAGCATAATTGTTTTCATGAATACGCAACTCTACGCAGATCCGGTGTAAAAGGGGCTTATTTGTACTTACATAGCAATATACAGGAATATATGGCTACCAGAGTACAGGAGATACAACTAAATCCAAAAACTGATATAAAAACAACGCTTCATGAACTCCAACTTGTCTAGTAGTTTCCAGATTACTAAGTGTCTAAGAATAACGAGCAACCAGGAGCTCTTTTTGGAGAGCAAGCAAAAGGCATGTGCAAATGCCTGTGTGCTCATCGAG